AGTAGTTGTTGAACACCAAGGAGACTCTGACAAAAAGATACTCCTGCTTTTCAAAACGTAAACACTGCTAGTATCTGTGATAGCAGAGAGCTTTCTTAAAAGGGTATCTAATTAATTCAGAATAAAATCAAAGCATGTCCCCAGGGGTCCATGAGCTGGGAGTGATAGGAAGATCCCAGCTGTTGCCACCATATCCTCTTCACTAATCAGAGTAGAGAATGCTCACATTAGTGTGGCACAGCTAGAGCGTGAAATACAAGGAAACTTTGGGTAAACTAAGGCTACACAGGCAGGCAGGAGCCAGATCACGAAGTGGGGGTGAGGTGGGAGGGTGGGCTTAGATGTCTTCAGAGTTAATCATACAGGTGACACAAAGTCACTGATTTTTTGCTTTCATTTTAGTCACTAAGTCGTGTCCAACTGTTTTCCGACCCCATAGCCTGTAGCCTGCCAGGCTCCTCTGTCCATGGGATTTTCCAGGCAGGAATACTGGAGTGGGTGGCCATTTCCTCTTCCAGGGGATGTTCCTGACCCAGGGGATCAAACCCAAGTCTCCTGCATTGGCAGTCGGCTTCTTTATCACTGAGCCACCAGGGAAGCCACAAAGCCACTGAAGACATTTGCAAAAGAGAGTGATGCATCAGACCCATGCTGGAAAGATCATTCTGGTACTGTCTCGATGGGTAAATGAAGTCAACATTAACAAATTTATATGATACTTGTTAAAGAGAGGCTTTCTACATTCTTAGATTTCTAAAGAAAAATCTGAGTGATTATATGAAACAGTTAAAGGGTCAAGAAAATCTTTGTAACTACAAATGAAAATAAGAAAAGTAAACTTATTTATTACTCAGGAACTTAAAGCCTTTATAACGACAAATATTTCATAAACAAAGCTAATAGACAAATGACAGACTTAGGGAAGAACTCTTCCAATTCAGAATACAGGGTATCCAAAACACACAGAGATCTCCCGCATACTGAGAAGTGCGGGCGTGCAAGCTGAGTCGTTTCAGTCGTGTCCGACTCTTTGCGACTCTATGGACTGTAGCCCGCTAGGCTCCTTCCTCTGTCCACAGGATTTCTCAGGCAAGAATACTGGAGTGGGTTGCCGTGCCCTCCTCCAGGGAACCTTCCCAACCCGGGATCGAACCCATGTCTCTTTGTCTCCTGCATTGGCAGATGGGTTCTTTACCACTAACGCCACTTGGGAAGCCCACACTGACAATCAGGAGATAAAAATCACAAAAGAGGGCTTCTCTGGTGGGGTAGCCATAAAGAATCCGCCTACCAATGCAGGAGAAATGGGTTCTATTCCTGGGCAGGAAGATCCCCTGGAGAAGGAAATGGCAACCCATTCCAGTATTCTTACCTGGGAAATCCCATGAATAGAGGAGCCTGGTGGGCTACGGTGCATGCAGCTGCAAAGAATTGGACATGACTTAGGGACTAAGCAACAGGAAAAATTTGAAAAGAAATCGCAATAGAAAAATGGCTGCAGGACCTGAAAAACAATTCATGGAAGAACGACTCTGTATGGAGAAAAATCCAAACTCGTAAGTCAGGGGAATACACACTGAAGGACTGATATCACTTTATATTTTAGAGACTGACAAATCAAAGAGAGTAATTCTATTGTTGCTGGCGGAAATGTGAATATTCGTCATTGCTGATAGAAATGGAATTAGGACAGAAAGTACTAGGAGTATTCAAAAACTAGTCTGACTACATCTATCAAAATTTTTTAAAATGCATGTGCACTTTGATCCAGCAACCCTCCTACTGAAAATCTTGGCCACAGCATTAAAAGCATCCACTTACTAGAAAAAGCAAAAAGGTTTTTGCAGCAGCGTTTACAGAGGCCAAAGAATTGAAACCATACTGAAAGCTCAATAGTTAGGATGCTTGAAAAACGATGGTGTGCCAACGACATGGTATATTTTTCATCATCTAGAAGGGAAAGATTTAGGCCAGGTGAGGCACTGTTGAGTGAAAATAATAAGAAACAAATACATTCAGGTGAGAAGGCAGTTGGGTGTAATAGTGACAAGCACAAACTCAGAAGCCAGCCTGTTGGGACTCAAAACCCTTGTTCAATCACCTCTTACGGAAAGTGTAACCTTGGATGAGTGACTGTTTTCTTGTCTGTAAAATGCGTCTGTATTTGGCTGAGCTAGATAGAACACAAGAGATACTCAGGACAACACCTGGCCTGTGGTCAGGATGCAGAAAACAGCAGTTGTATTTACATGGTCCCACTGTCTGATAGCATACATGAAAAATCTTAAACTTGCAAATGTATACAAGGGTCCCCACCTTCCTCTGCTGTTTTTTTTTCTCCTCAGTGGTACTTATCTTCTCCATTCCTAACACATTTAACCATTTACTTATAGACTCTGCCTATCTCTGCCCCTCTTTAGAATTCAAGCTCTATGAAAGACAGTGTCTTGCCTGTTTGTCCATTGCTGGATTCCCAATGCCTTGAACAGTGCTGGGCAGACAGTGAGGACTCAACAAATCCTTGAATGAATGAATATGTGCATCTATGTCTTGCTGGGAGCAAGGGCTCCTCCCCTTTTTATGAATTTTCACTGAAGAATTGATGCTTTTGAACTGTGGTGTTGGAGAAGACTCTTGAGAGTCCCTTGGACTGCAAGGAGATCCAACCAGTCAATCCTAAAGGAAATCAACCCTGAACATTCATTGGAAGGACTCATGCTGAAGCTCCAATACTTTGGCCACCTGATGTGAAGAACTGACTCATTGGAAAAGACCCTGATGCTGGGAAAGATTGAAGGCAGGAGGAAAAGGGGATGACAGAGGATGAGATGGTTGGATGGCATCACCGTCTTGATGGACATGAGTTTGAGCAAACTCCAGGAGTTGGTGATGGACAGGGAAGCCTGGCGTGCTGCAGTCCATGGGGTCGTAGAGTCAGACGTGACTGAGCAACTGAACTGAACTGAAGTATGGTTGATTTACAATGATGTGCTAGTTTTTGCTGTGATACACATACATATATCCACTCCTGTTTAGCTTCTATTCCCATATAGGTCATTATAGAGTATTGAGTAGAGTTCCCTGTGCTATGCTGTAGCAATCTCCAACCTTTTGGTACCAGGAACCCATTTCATGGCAGACAATTCTTCCATGGATCAGAAGGCTGAGGGATGGTTTCAGGATGATTCAAGTGCATTATATTTATTGTGCACTTTATTTCTATTATCATTACATTGGCTCCACGTCAGATCATCAGACATTAGATCCTAGAGGCTGGCGACCCCCTCAGAGTTCAGCACCCCTCGCGTGGTCAAACCAACCAGGTACCAGGTGTGTAGGTGTCGCCTGGCCCTCTCTGTGTCACTACCTGGGAACTGATCTGGAGGACAGGCTCCAATGCTGCTCTGACTTCCACTCTTACTGTGAGTCACAAATCATCTATTGTCTCTGGCCCAGGAGTCTCCTGTTTTGTGCCAGCATCTATGAAATAGCAACAGACAAGCTTCCTGGCTTGTACATAGAGTAAAAATCTAGACTCTTCACAATTCTTTACCCATTTATGTTCACACATTGAAGGAGTCTTTGGGCCTATAAAAGAAAACAACAGTCTCAAAGGCCCTTGCTGAATCATCTAACTTCAGAGAAATCAAAACCGAACTTTAGGTCCTGCCCTGATGCTCCAGGCCGGTTGCATCTATCTGGGACTTATCACCTCCTGTCCAGAAACCTTCCACCCCCTACACCTGCCCAGAAGACTTATCACCCCCTGCCCAACTACAAATGCCATGTCAACTAAAGAATACCCAAGACATCCCGCCTGATTAACGTTTCCCTTATTGCTTCCACAAACCTCCCTATAAGTATGAAGCCTCCTTGATCCCTCTGGGCGCTCAGCCTGGTTGTTAGGCCAACTATTGCCCCTCCTTGCCTGAATAAAGGTAACCTACTTCCGTTGAGGTCGTCTCTCCTTCTTTTCTGCCTCAGCCCGAACTATACCTTACACATATGTCTGTCTGTGATTATGTGAACATGCAGCAAAACAGAAAAAGACTGAGGGTAATAAATCTGGGGAGGCAGGATCGGGAGGATGGGGGTGGGCAGGGAGGAGGAAGCCATGCAGAAAATGATGAGAATACAAAGTCCCAGTCCAAATAAAGGTGGGAATGATTGTGACGTTGGTCATGAGCAATTCAGCAAGAATTCAGACACCAGCCAGGAGCAGGGAGTAAACATCTTGGGTTTATGGCTTATCCGTGAGGGTGTGCAGAGGATTCCGTATCCTCAGAGCCTGAAGGCATGTCCCCACACTTGGATACATGACTGTACACACCGTGGGAAGGAAGGACCGAGGTCATTTCAAATAAACACTTAGAATCCTTAATGTTTCCCCAAGTTCCATCTGGGAGCCTGCAGCATACAGCGAGAGCCTGGCCCAACTTCTATCACACGAAGCTTCAATCTACAAATGGGAATTCTCTGCTTGCTTTCACTGTTTACTTCCTAACACCATCTTTATTTCTTGTGTAAGAACATTACTAAAAAAAGGAAAGGTTCACTTAGATGTTAGCTATTTTCTAAGAAGGTCTTTGAAAACTTCACACTTCGTCCTTATATTTTTACTGGAATAATCAGGTCTCTTTTCAGAAAAACATCCACTTAAAGAAAAAGTTTATGAAAGAAAGGTTTAGAAAAGCTACGCTGAGGACTTTGTGGTGGTCGACTGGATAAGATTCCATGCTTCCAATGCAAGGGGTGAGAGTTCAATTCCTGGTCGGAGAACTAAGATCCCCCATGTTGTGAAGCCAAAAAAAAAAAAAAAGAACATGACAATATCATCATAATAAACATTTTTTTTAAAAACTATGCTGTTTCACGTTCAATTTTTTCTACATGCAACTTTAAGTTTTGAAGTAGCTGCGAGCATAGCTGTTACCTGGTTCCAAATACACAGACTCGTGAGGGGTACAGACTTTTAAGAGAATTTATGTGAATATACGTACCAGCCTTTGCAACAGCCTGACTTGCCTTGGGATCCTGAGTCCAACCTACAAGGAAAAAAGAGACATGAACTATGATTGTGAGGTCATTCTCACATGAGTTAGTTACACGGAGAGGTTTAAGACCCACGAAGGCACAAGAAGGGTTATCCACCACTTGAAAAGCAGTTTTGACTTTGAACCAGGAAGCACCCAGAACAAGGTTAGAATTCATGCTTCTCAGATCTGGCTGGCTGCTTAACCCACAATATCACACCACCTCCTCATCTGGGGGTTCTTACATCTGTTAGGGGAGCAGATGAAATGACCAGAACAGAGTTCATTAGAATATCTGTATTCAGGGCCTTCCCTGGCAGTCCAGTGGGCAAGACTTCACCTTCCAATGCAGGGAGCTGGGGCTCAATCCCGGGTCGGGGAGCTGGGTTCCACATGCCTCGCAGCCAAAAAAGCAAAACATAAATCAGAGACGATACTGTAGCAAATTCAACAAAGGCCTGAAAGATGGTCCACATCAAGAGAAAAAAATAAAAAAAAAAAAAAGAGTATTTGTATTCGGTTTCCATTTATTTCTGGCTTGAAAATCAACTCTTTGCAGTTGTGTCTGTTACAGTTAATAAACATGTCTGCTTGCCTCTGATGGGTTCATTCATTCCGCTCAAAACCCCAGGAAGTTCTGGAGGCAAAACTGAACTTACCTTGAACTTTCTTACTGTGTTTTTTCTGGATGATTTGCTATACTTTCCCACAGGCAGAGGAGGGGCACGGGAAGGTGATAGCATCCTTAGTTTTAAAAATCATCTAATAATTAACCAGCCCCTCTGGACTCATGTAGAAGTCCTAGCTGGTTGCCAACCACTTCTCAAGATAAATCACTGTTTAAAGAACAGAAGTGTGGACTCCACTGCTGTGAGTAATAAGTCAGCCTTCCTGAAGGGCAGTAAGACACTGTTGATCAAAACCTTGGAAAATATTCTTAGACTTTACACAAACCTTTTTTAACAGCTTCGTAAGGTATAACTTACAAATGATAAAATTTGTTCTTTTAATGTGCACAAAAACCTTGGAAAATATGCTTAGAGTTTACACAAAACTTTTTAAACAGCTTCATAAGGTATAACTTACAAACAATAAAATTCGCTCTTTCAACGTGCACAATTCAAGTTTTTAAAATATATTCACAGGGCTGGGCAAACCATCACAATCAATTTAGAATACTTTTATCCCCAAAGAAACCCTGCTTTACCTGTCACTTCCAACTCCAGCCTTTCCCTGGCCCTAGGCACCCCTTAATCTACTTTGTCTCTATGGATTTACTCATCTTGGGCATTTCGTATAAATGGAATCGTACAATATGTGGTCATTTTTTACTGGCCCTTTCCACTTAGCATAATCTTGTAGACTTTTTAGCACTTCATTCTTTTTTATGTCTGAATAATAGTCTATTGTGTGGATACATCACATTGTGTTTATCCACTTCCCAGTTGTCAGACTCTAAGGTTATTTCCACATTTTGGCTACTATTTATACTGTGGAACTTGCATGGATATTCACATGGATGTCTCTGTGCTTTTATTTCCTTTATAAGTGGAATTCCTGGGTCATATGGTCAATTTGACTTTTGAGAAATAGATACACCAGTTTGCAAAGTAGCTGCAACATTTTACATTCCCACCAGTATGCATGTCTTTTAATTTAGAAATCCTACTTTCAGAAAATATCAATTGGGGGTGGGGGGGGGTGAATATCAATACAAAAAAAAAATGAAAGCATGAAAAGACTTCTTTGCAACTTTGAAAATAATTGTTGATCCTTGTAAATAGCCTAACATATCCTTTAAAAGTGGTTTGGTTAAATATATTACGATACAGTTATTAATCAGAATACAGCTATTAAAAATAATGGTATGGACCTACATTTATTGCCTTCAAATGTTAGTTTTACTGGACTTTTGAGCTGTTCACTAAATATTTCTCTAGCTGTCTGCTGGAAAGATTGCATTTCCTGGCCCCTGGTGGGAAGATAGAGCCACGTGACTGGTTCTGGCCAATAACTTATGAAGGTAAGTAGCCTCTGTCACTTCTCCACCAAGGACTCAATAGAAGGTATGAGATTCTCCAGAACTGCCTTTTCTCACCTGCACAGTAGGTAGTAACATTTGAAAGGTTGCTGCTCCATCAAGCCCAAGGTCACACTTGCTCCACTGGCACCCCAAGATGGATGTTATACAAGCAAGAAACAAACGTTCGTCTAATTTATGGTTGCCAGGTAGTGGGGAGAAGGGTGGAGAGAAGGGATGGTTAGGGCATTGGGGATGGACTGTGCACACTGCTGTATTTTAAATGGATAACCAACAGGACCTGCCGTACAGCACAGAGGAGTCTGCTCTATGTCCTGTGGCAGCCTGGGTGGGAGGGGGATCCTGGGGGAGAAGGGGTACGTGTATATGTATGGCTGAGTCCCTTTGCTGACCACCTGAAACTATTACAACATTGTTAATCGGCCATACTCCAAAACAAAATAAAAAGTTTTTTAAGAAAGAAATAAATATCTGTCATTTAAAGCATTGCAGTTTGGGGGTTCTTACCCCAGTTCAGCCTGGCCTGTCCTCACTGATACAGTCAGACACACTTTGAATGATTAAATCAGATAAAAAAATGCTATCTTTATCAATCTCATTTTTTAAGTATGTGTCTGTATGTGCAGAACGCACCGAAAATTTTAATGGCAATTACCTCTGAATGTCTGAATTTTTTTTCTTTAAACTCTTCTGTAGTACCTTAGTTTTGTATCACTTGCAAATAGAAAAAACAATAAAGATATTTCCATTCTGTAAACTAAAAATCTGGTTTAATCATGATCCTCTTCTGATCCCTTCTGAAAATAGATATGTGCTACTGTAAATTACAATTATAGGCCATCATAGAGTCTCCTATTCTACAGAACATGGAATAGGAAGAATTAGTATACGATTTCAGTTGACATATGCTCTCATGCCAAATAAGAACCAGTCACTAGAAGGCTACTGGTTCCTATTTCTAAAATGAGGTGGAATGATTTGAATGGTCCAACGGAAACCAGAATCAGTGTCTTGGGCAAGGTCTCCCCCAGTTCTGCAGGTCCGTCTCAGGCCTCTCCCTTCCTAAAATTGTGGAATCCACTGGGGACCACTTAAAATAACTACCCATGGTCAGAAGGGAAGCCTGGCCCTGCTCAGGTATTACGTTCTCTGGTTGATCTAAAGTATTCTCTTTGAAGTCTCCTCCTTTGAAGAATAGGTTTTCCAAGAAAATAAACAAGCATTCAGGAGAACAAGAGAAGTTGGTTTTTCATTTTTGAGGTGGCTATCTGATATCTCAGGGGATCACCATGGCAACACTTGAGTCCACATTTAGACACAGACCAAACCAGAATCAAAACTTCCTGGTGCACAGAGATTCCTGGTGCCAGCTAGGATTAGAAGTGGAAATGACATTAATGTCATCTTCATTGTTTTTAATTAGGAATTCCTGACCCCTTTTATTGTTTGAGAGCTTTCCTGTTCCCTAATAAGAACCTGGAAGCGGGGGTTAAGGACAGGTAACCGAATCCAGCTTAAAAGTCAAGGAGGGTTCTGAATAGTAACCTCAGAGCATGGGCCCCAAACCACAGACTTATGAGATGGCTCAGATATGAATTTCTACTCCTTCCAAGCTGAGCTTACTTCTCCAGAGCCAGAACAGATGTCCAGACCACAGTATTTAATAAGAAGTATCAGCCATGATCTTTGCCATGAAGGACCATACTACCTAACTTCAAAGAAAATACACTCAGGAAAACTTACCAGATGAGGTAATTTTTATAAGTTACAAAGAAAATGGGAAAAAGGGAAGCATTACACTCTCAAGTGACCAAAAGGCTTTACGATGGAGGGATGGCTTGAAGTAGGTGTGTAGGATGTTGGTTGGAGTGGAATAAGAGGGGGAAGACAAATTTAAAGAGAATCAAGTTCAATATGAGAACCATGCTGAGAAATCACTCATTATCTGCCTCTTCGACTCACATGGACCAAGCAGCATTCACTACCAGAACGTGCATGGGTGGCTGAAGACTGCCTTTGCACCAGGAATGTAGCAATAACCCCATCAGAGCCGGGGAACTGGAATCTCCATCTATCCCACCATCAGATGGTCCAACTACAGGTGAAAAACAGCTTAATGTTCATCATCTGGATAAAAGAGATGGTATTTTCCCCCCAGGATCAATCACAGGGTTGGATCAGGATCAGGAGGGAAGAGAAAGCATTCCAGCAAGTCCACAGATGGGGAAGAGCATGGGAAGGAGGAGAGCAGTGAAACCTACTTCCACCCAGGGTGAGGGGTACTGGAAATATGTACAATACACACATTCCCATTAGAGATGGGTGCTTTCACGACCTGGGTCCACTGAACAAGAGAGAGAAAGGCGTGGTTCAAGGGATGGGGTTCCCTCATCCCTCCCGAGCTCTGCCACCAGCCCTGTCGCTCTAGGCTCCATCACAGAGCCAGGAGTGGCTGCACTGAGACCAGGCTCAGCCACACACCCTCGAACGGCTGGAGACATGAGCGCCTAGTGGGCGGCTGGAGACATGAGCGCCTAGTGGGCTCTATGCCAGGAACTTATCTACCCATTGGCCTGCACCTCCCGAGGACATTCTGAAGCCAAGACCAGGAGCTCAGGAGTCAGCTGCCCCAGAGACCTGGCCAGGACCTGACGCTGACCCCAGGGCGACAGGCTGGGCAGCACAGGAGATGCCACCCATCACCGGGGCTGAGGACAGTTAGTCTTCCAAGAGCCCCATTCCGGGAATTCTCTATCACCCGCACAAAAGTTCTCTTTCGGAGAAATGGGGCTGCCTGTTGTTCAGCTACGAGCCAGGCGCCATGTGGGATGCTCATAACCTCAGCAATGGGAGAAGAAACTTCATCGGGGTGTGGCGGTGGTGGTGGTGGGGGAATGAAATCTCAAACAATTTCCAGGCAGCTGGGAAAATAATAACAAAACCCAAACCAACCAGCTTTAGGTGAGTCAGC